AAAAAAAAAAAAAAAGAAAGAAAATCCATGGGAGGAACAGCATAACAAAAGGATTAAAAACTCTAGTGCTATTGAAAATGGAAGATACATGTACTACGTCAATATGAGAGAAAATTATTTAAAATAATAAGTAGGAAAATAGAATACAAAATAATTCATAAAAGTCACATGGTAAAAAGCATGCAAGTTCACCCAATCAGAAAGCGTCCAGCTTGTTCACTGCAAAGTTGCCTCTTTGTATGTTTGAACATGATTTTGTATACTGAGGACATGTCCTGGTGCTAAAACAGATTCACTGTGGAAACTGACCTCTGTGATAACATTTTTTGGACAAGGTAAATTTCATCCTTTAGAACACATTACAGTTTATTGGTGACTTTGCCTCACAATTCTGTTATCAAAGATAACAAAAATCTTGCCAGTTCGGCATTAGTTCTAAGTATAATCATTAGGGTCTTTAATGGACAGTGATTGCTCCTCATTGGCTTCTAGGTAAATTTGAATAAGTCATTTAATATTTCTGAGACTCAAGTTTTCATCTTTAAAATTCAAAGGTAAGAGTATCTGCAAGAGCCACGGAAAGAGGATGGCAGAAAGCTTTGGGCTGTGTTAGTGTCCTCTGGGAAACTCATGTCTTGTGGAATTTACAGATTTGGCTGAAACTTCTGTTTTTGGGATTTTTCCCAGCGGTTGGGGTGAAGGGATGTGCTTCATTTTATTCTGGAATCGTGTGAAGTTGGAGTTCTATAGAGGTTCATACTTTGAAATCAGAATGGTTCCAAGAAATAAAAGGAGAGGAGGGTGACAAGTTGGCCATTTACCTTCATGGCTCAGATCTGTTATTGCACGAGCTCGGAGGTGTTGACCTGTCGAGTCTCGAATTATGTTTTGATGAATGGAATCAGTTAGGACGAATTCCTTTTTGAGAATCTTCAGATATCTGAATCTCATCTCGTTCTGGAGGCTGTAAGGTGCTGACCGTGGCTTGATGATTTCTAAAACCATTATTACAAGTTCAGATTAACATATAGGTACAAAAGAAGATGATATATACATGCTAATCGAAGCATAGGAAGTAGCTCTGGAAAGAACATTATAAATAGTGCAATCCAAGTTAGGGGACAGAAGTGAAACAATCAACACTAGTTTTGATTCTACTATTAGTCCTGGGTATACTTTGCTTCTTTTAAAGTGGATTCCCCAGGCAAAAAAAATTTTTTTTGTAGGAGAGATTATTTATGCAACTTTCTCATTTTGGGTTGTTTGGAGGTTACTAAGTGACCAGGAAGACTGCAAGTATTCCCCATCATGGTTTCAAATGAATATACTGTGAGGTAAAAATGAATACATTAAAAACATCATTTTTAAAAAATTATAATTTTTTACTGAGGATGTCCATGTACCATCCATCTTTCTGGAAAGGGACTGAAGATTTATTGATAGAGATCCTCATTATCATTTCAAATATAATGGTGAAACACTGATTTTTAAAAAGGCCTGTGATATATTGCTAAGGGAAAAAGGCTGAATGTAAAATTGCATATTCCTAATAATATAAAATATGTTGTTCAAGTGTGTGTCTGTATAAAGAAAAACCTTTAAGGAAATATACCATAATATTGGTGGGGTTAAACTCTGAAGTGGCAAAAATGAGTTATTTCTGTTCCTTTAAAAATATTTTCAAACCTTCTGTTGAAAGGAACAGTTCATGTTTAAGTGTATGATCAATCTTACATGTCTATATTTGTTTATCTGAGTATCCAAATTGAAGATATCAATATGTAATACAACAACTATTGTTAATTTTCTATCACCTTGTCTGAGATTCTGTATTGCTTGTATTGTTTTTGTGTTATTTTCTAAATGTATGTGTGTTTGCTAAGATGTTTTCATTCTTTTATCTTTAAAATAAAATAAAAAATAAAACAGTAGAGATAAAACAGAGTTTCATTAGACAAGATGGTAGGAGTTCACCATTGTAATTCCATTGCATATTGTTACCTTCAAATCAGTTGCTCAGACCACCAGGCACAAGCATGCACAATCGATCAGAACATAAAAATTGTAATTATCTCTAGTGCATTAGCTCTACAGTTTTTATCTCTATTATCTCTACCTGTTATTATCTCTCTGTATTATCTCTACTGTTTTATCTATTATCTCTCTCTGTTATCTCTATTATCTCACTGTATTATCTCTACTGTTTATTGAAGGATTATGTTCTTATTCCCTATAGTGGTTTGCGCAATCTTTCATTCTTACATCTGGTAATATGAGCAATGTAGTTTGAGGATAGTGATATGTAATGTAACAATCGCAGTTGATTCATATTATTTTGTCTTGAGACTCTGTATCACTTTGAATGTTCTTGCTTTGATTTGTTTATGTTTGGGATACTGGTATGCTGCTACTGTTCTATTTCTTTGTTTCTCATTTACTACTCTCTTTAAAATAAAAAAAAATAAAAGAAATAAACTTTCTGGGTGAACATGTACTATTGCTTAGATGTTACATTAAAAACAAGAATATTGGATTCATGTGTCCTGTGGAAATACGCATAGTAAAAACATGAAAGAAAAAGCATGACTGTAATAGTCAGAACTGAATAGCTTTGAGCGTCTCCCACATACTGACTGTGTGACCCTGGGCAGGCTGCTTATTTCAATGAGTTTAATTTCTTCATACGTAAAATGAGAGTGTAAGGTTGCTGTGAGGCATAGGGACAGTGCAGCCATTGGTAAATTAGTGGCATTGGCTGCATCAATAAAAGCAGCAGTAGTAATAATAGCAACAACAGCTAACATTTCTTGAACGGTTAGTATGCACCACACATTATTCTAGCTTAAAAGTTTGGAAGTATTGACTCATCTAATCTTCACAATAATCTAATGAGGCAGGGACTCTGATCATCTCCAACTTACAGGACAGGGAATTGAAGCATGGAAAGATGAAGTGACATGCCAAAGGCGGCATAGCAAGTAAATAGAGGTCACCAGCTAACAGTATATGTGTACTTTTCCTGGAAAGACTGAGTCTTACAACCTTTACAATGTGGCCAAGAGATGAGCTCACAAATAAATATACAAGACTCAGACTATTGCTCCCCACCCCAGAAGGACGAATATTAATTTTCCTTTATAATAGTTACCAGATAATCCAGGTTATCTTCTCTTTTATTCTGAGTCTAGGTTTTATTTCCCCTGTGCTCTATCGTCTCCACTGACTTAAAACTGAAACAAGAACACTACTGTGCTTGACCCCTTACCTTCCTCCAGATCACTGTCGACGGCTTCCAGATCTTCACTAGTGGTGTTCTGATTTAAATTCACCCGTCTCTTCTTCAGAACCTTCCCATGGGCTGACGTTGACACCACTACTAAATTCTCCTCGAAGGTGAGATTGGATGCCTCTGAGGTTTCACTGATATTCAGAGATTCACATTCATCCAGGCAGCTCTTGTCAAGTGGGCCATAGCTTGTGTCATAGAAGGATTTCTGTGGGGAAGAAAAATGGCAACTGAGAGGCTGTCTGTGGCCATAGAATGAGATTCTTTCACTAGGAGGTGTATCCAATCGATGTATTGAAAAAGCTCTTCGTTTTGGTCTTGAGTAACCCATGATTCATCAGTTCTCCCACCTGCTTTTCCCTCTGCCCCTTGTCCCTTCCTTCTTCCCTCCTTCGCTCCCTCCCTGCCTCCTTCTTGCCCTCTTTCCCCTCTTCTAGTTCCTTGAAAGCATGTAATTTCTTAGGAAAACCTTTTCAACCATCTGCAGGCTCAGAAATGGATATTGTAATAAAATAAATCAACAGATCATCTCAAGGAGCGATAACCGTTCATTGACTTCCCTCTCAGGAGGTTAGATGTCTATTTCACAGCACTGTAAAATATTTCAGAAATACATTCAGCCCTGTATATCTATGGGTCCTGCTTCTTGAGATTTAACCAACCTCAGATCAAAAAAATTTGGAGAAAAATTACATCTGTATTTATACATAGAGTTTTTTCTTGTTATTATTTCCTAAACAACACAGTACAGCAATTACATGGAATTTATACTAACTTGGTACCATAAGTAATTTAAAGATAAGCACATGGGAGGATGTGTGCAGGGTATTTTAAAATGTTATGCCATTCATATGTAACAGATTTTTGCATCTGCAGATGTTGGTTCAATGCGGGTCTGAAACCCATTGCCTGTGATGCCTAGGGATAGCTCTACTTCTCTGGGAACAGGGTTTTTTTTTTTTTTTTTTTTTTTGTCTTTTTGAGACAGGGTCTTGCTTTGTAGCCCAGGATGGTCTGGAGCTCACTTTGTAGCCAAGGATGGCCTCAGACTTGCAGTGATCCTTCTGCATCAGCCTCCCAAGTGCTGGGATTATAGGCATGTGCCACCATGCCCTGCTGGGAGCAGTTTTTAAAACCAGGACCACAGATACACAAAGTAACACAGCTGGGTGAGTATCAGAAGTTTCTCATTTCCAACTGGCCTGCTTCCTCTACTTCAGTTTCATGAGCAGTTATGCTGGGAGGGCTATCTCCAGCCTCTGGTGCTGGAATCAGAGGACAAGCATAACGTCCCACATTAGGAGGCAGAACCCTGGTGAAGTGGCCTCAGGATGGCACAGCTGACATCAGAAGAAGCTGACCCAAGAGACTCTTGTTTTCAGGGCTTTGGGATAGTAGTGCTGTGATCTATAAAAGCTGAAGAGTGCTGTAAACTCTTCATGTGTAGATGAGCAATGGATCTCACTTGTAATGAAGAAATGCAGGTCTCTCGACCTCTAGTGAGGATAAAACAAAAGTATCTGAGATTCAGCACCCTGCCTTGGTCTTCTGGTGGAGGAAATAGCGTGAGAACAACAGCCCTGTAAGAAGGGAAATCATTTGCCTACCTGATCCAGAGAGAGATGGTCAAGGGCAGAAGCATATTCTTCATTTTCACTGTCAAAAAAAAAAAGATGAGATTATAATTGTTTCACTGTTAACACTTGGTATTGAATTTTAATAAGCACATTAGGTTTGGGTAAAACACACACACACATCATTAGTTACCACTGAAAATTAAGGACAGCTATATATTCACATATATACAGTCATTCATACTTCACTAATTTGGAATTAGTAGTCATTAGGACAGAGCTTGCACTTTATGTATGAAAACTAGATTTGGTAACACCTTGAAGAGTTTTAGCTGAATTTCACTGGACAACGTTCTTCAAGAAAAGAAATACTTTTGAAACACTGTATAGATCCTCTGTACCACATATATTGTTTTAATGTATTCAGTAGAATAGATTTAATGATTAATACTTGGAAAAATACCCAGACAACATCTTGGTAGCTTTCTTTGTGTTCATAATTATCATAGGTAACCGGAAGATTACGTTAGTTCAAAATGTTTTATAACTTTAACTTTTGGCTTATGTCTCTTCTGTACACCGATGTGCTCAAGTTGCTGGGGAGTTACTTCCTCCTCCCAACAGAGATTCAGGCCTCTGGAGAGTAGATTTTCAGGCACACAACCCATTAAAATGCGTTACTGTAGCAAGACTTGTGGACTTAATCAAGGCTGACCTATATCAATGTTGAAATTTATATAGGACCCTGCAGACCTCAAAAATAACTTTTCTACAAAGGACGCCTCAGTTTAACGTACTGTGTGCTTAGTTCTCCTCAGTCTTTTATGAAGCTGCCATGGCCTCTGCAGCCTAATTTCGTGCTGGCTATTGTAATTCCTAGCTAGATTCTAATATGCCTTGAACCCTTCATTAAATCATGAGAGATAGAATCTACTTCTTACCTGTAACAACTCTTCAGGTCTTCGAACAGGTTCGGAACTTTGGCCATCTTGACTTCTGCAACAGGAAGAGACCCGGGGCTGTCAGCTCAGCCAGCCTCTGACCCAGATGCCAGCAAGGGCAACCACCTCTGCCTTGTGATTCTTGAGAGACTGCTTTGACTGACTTAGCCCACACTCAGCATTTCCCCCACTCTTCTCACTCTCTTGCATTACTTTCTATGCATGTGCCTCCTCTCAAGACCGTAAACTTCTTTCAGATGTTTTATTTATCTTGGTATTCCTTAAGTGCCCAGCTCAATGCATTGCATATAGTAGGCATGCAATCAATGCTTGCCTAGCTTAAAAGAAAACTAAAGCCACAAGAAAGAGATATTCACCTTATACAGAGGTAAGAGAGGAACAGAGTTAGAAATGTTCAGTTTTCTTCTAATAGTTTTTGGTGGGAGAGAGTTCTTCCCAGGGGAAGACTTGGCCCTTGGATGAATCCAGTTCTCTGGTTGCCTCTCAGTTCCCCGTCAGTAAAATAAGATAGTCATTTTCTGAAGTCTGACTGGTGTATAATTCTAGCTCATATCCCAAATCAAGAAAGGCCAGGAAAATGAAAAAGAAAGAGGTCAGAGCTTTACAGAAGGTAGTTTGAAGACAGCCAGGAGGGGGAAAATACTTTAAAAGCCACAGGTGTGATAAGGACAATACCTTTGCCGATTCAAGTGCCAATGAAATGACTCCTGCACTGCTTTGACACTGAAGCCTGAGTCAGGCTTCTTTGCCTTTTATAATGTCTCGCTAAGTAGGTGTGGCCATAATTGTGTCACTGGGAATTTACAGGAAACCTTTTTTATTTTATATGTTTATTCAACTTGATATTGGCCAGAATAATGACAGATTGTATACTTGGTAATATTGCTGTTTGCAAAGATTCAAGGAGTTGTTGACTTAGCTCATTTATTTATTGCTTGCGCCATATAATTTTAAACATGCAGTCTTAAAAAAAGGGAAGAACAGCCGGAAGCTTATCAGATTTCTAAAAATAAATGATGTGGGAGGAAAGAAGAAATCCCCGAATCAGGATTGTGGAGGACCAGAGCTGGAGAGAAGCTTGCTAGCTGCACTACGTGTGTTGGCTTCGTTTGTTTATTGTGCTCCAGGGCTGAGTGTGAATTGCCAGAATAATTGGTAGCTTCTGGCAGCTATGGGGAGGCAATTGAGGAAAATGAACCACTTGTTTTTTAAGGGGGGACACTTGCTTGAATATGGTGTGGATTTGTCCGAGGGTGGAGTGACAACATGGTTAGATTAAGGTAGAGGAAATTTGACCACAAAAGTCTTGATCCTCTTATTCCTTTGAATAGTGTCCACACATTTCCTACCCAGGTGACTGGGCTTCAGGTGAGAACCCGCAGCCCTAACCATGTTGTTACAGTAAAGTAAGTGGCCCTGTACCAGAGCTTAAAGACAGCTCTGGTGTCCCTGGGGAAAGCCAAGATGGGTGAGGATGGACGTCCACTTAGGCACGGGCAAAGCACTTGTCAGAGCCAGGGGCTGAGTTAGGAAATGGAGGTGGTGGGAAGGGAAAGCATGAATCTTACATGTGACACTGCCACATGTAAGAAAAAACTGCTGCTTTTTCAGTTGTCTTGAGGTCAGCCTGGATCAGGTGGCAGAACATCAGACTCTTAGCAAATCTGTTTCATGTTCCTTAATCAGAGTTTCAGCCACATACATTTTAGATAGAAGAAATAGACAGAAGAAGAAAGGAAACATAGGTCAAGAGAGAAAAGCGAGGCACTGAAATGTGGTATTAAAAAGCCAAAAAGCCTGGAAGTGGGAGTAAAGTGGTTCATGTGAGTTGGACAGAGTATTTGGTATAATAGGATAGGATAGATGATCAGTGAGGTGTAGTCCACTTGCAGGGTCTCTGATTCTAATTCTGCTGCCCAGGCTAGTTCCTTTTGGTGTTATAAAAAGGAGTCCCAGAGATAAGTGGCTTCCTAGGCTCAAGCCATGTCAGGGCAGGACCAGACTGGGAAAGAAACTTGGTGTCTCAGGAAAGATCCTGTGTGAACACAGATGACAGCCAAGGAAGCCTCCATATTTCTACTTACCTGGTTCCCTTTTGTGCAACACAGAAATGTTAACCCTGGTCACCCCCTCTGCCTCTGGGCATCTTGTGAGAACCATTATTACTGAGACACAATTGCAGAGCACATTGTGAATGTGGGCTGCTATGGAGATGCAACTAAACAAAAATAATAACAGCGCTAATGACGGTTTCAGTCACTTGGAAACCTGTCTAGTCATCGCTGGGATGCCTTAGTTCCCTGAAGAAAAGAGAGTTCTCATGAAAATATTGGTTTTACAACTTCAACGGCGAGAAAAATTTTAGGTGAAGGCCACCACTGAAACCCTGAAGATACTTGGCTTCTAGAAATAATACACAGAACCTCTTTGGTAATCTAGGAAAACACCCTTGCTTCTACCAGCTGTGGCAACACCCAGCTTGTCTACGTCTTCATTCCGTGTGCTGTAGAGAATTTCCCAGATGTGACTGTTGAATTTCTCAAGGAGAATTTGGTTGAGAAACAGCCATCTCAGTGTATCGTCCAAATTATTACTTCACATGACCTGCTTGGAAGGTGGTTTTAAAGGGGAAAAAACAGGTGGATGAGGCTTAGAGAGGGAGAGAGGGCTTTACTTTTTTTGGGAGAACTACTTTTATGTGACTGTGAACCATGACTGAACAGACCACCTTTTCTAGGGAAGTGAGAGAGGGATGTACTGGGTGGTGCTTTACTGGGTTCTGTGGGGTATGTATGTGTGTGTGTGTGTGTGTGTGTGTTGGGGGGCTGTCCTGTGATAGAAATTTTGAATGGTTTCATGCCATACCTCTCAACCTTCTGCGGAGGACTCAGAGAACTTTTCTTGACTCATTGCCACATAAATAATTCAGAGAAATAGTATTGCGCGCTTTTTCTGTGTCACAGTTTTTTTTTTTTTTTCCGGTGCCGGGAATCGAACTCATGACCTTGCGCTTGCCAGGCAGGTGCTGTGCCACTGAGCTAAATCCCCAGCCCCCTGTGTTGCAGGTTTTGCTAGGCATTAGCATTTTTCTTGACCTACACAATTATGTATGGCAGATAAAATGCCTTGTGTGTGTGTATGAGTGAATATGCTTGTAAGTCGAGAGGCTGTGGACCCAGGGAAACTTGATAGTTTTCATACGACAATTACTTTAGAGGTCACAGAGAGCTCAGTTGGAGTCCTTATCAGATCTCAACAGGAGAAGAAGCCATCTTGGAAGAGGTTAAGGGACCAATCTAAGGTAACAAAAACTGTCAGAGCCAGTACTTGAACTCAGGTTGCTGATTCCTCGTCTAATCTTTGTCCACAGCATAGAGATGCGTGAGTCTCACCACTGTGAGTACCAGGTCCATATAAAAAATGAAATAAACATGAAAAAAGTTTGAAAGATCTCCCCTCCCTCTCTTCTTTTCTTTCAATGAAATCTCTATTTATTCTGTGATACACAGAAATCAGGGTCAAGGTGACCTTTGTAATTGAGTATATGGTTAGTGGTGGAGTCTGGCTGTGAATGCCGGTGTGCTCTTACCATTGTACCGTGAGGATGGGAAACATCTTTAGAAGCAACTTTAAAATTGTTTCACATAGTTAGACGTAACAGAAATCACTTGATTATAGAGAAAAGTACATTTCCCTGTGAATTTTCTGGAGAAAATCTGACCAACTGTATCCACTGATCCTGCACTCCAGTTTCAACCAACCACAGACTGAAAACACCCGAGAAAATGCATCTGCACTGAACATGTATAGACTATTTTTCTTGCTAATACTCCCTAAATAATATTCTATATATAATATACTAGCAACTTACATACCATTTACATTACATTAAGTATTATAAATCATCTAGAGATTATTTTCAATTATAAAGGAAGATGTGTGTAGGATTTATGCAAATTCTAAATCATCTATAAGGGACTTACATAAAATCAACGGATGTTGGTATCTGCAGGGGTTTGTGGGGTCCTGGAACATCCCTGTGGATAGTAGGGACAGATGTATTTCTTTTCAGGTGATATAAACCTCTTCATAGAGATAAAGCCTGCATAAACTATCAGATGGAGAGAAAATCTTGTTGCCAGTCTTGTCTCAACTCACATCCTTTTTAGTTATAATTTGCTTTTCAATTCTGTGACAGTTAGGAAGGAGGAAAGGACTTAGCATAGCTGCTAATCATGTTACTAGAGTTGTAATAAATTATCTTGTTTAATCCTGTCATCAGACCCTTGAGGTATGCATTCTTATCACATTGTATGTAAGAGGAAGTCAAGGTCTAGAGAAATTAAGCAATCATACCAAGGTTACAAGGCTACCAAATTGCAGAAATAGGATGTAGAGTTTACCACAAAGCCTTCTCTTCTCCTTGGTGTGGCCTCTTTTTCTCCTGTGTATCTTTTAAATTAAGATTTACATCTTTTGGGTTGTCTTACTGTACTGAAATTTCTGGAATCATATGTTAGAGAAAGATGCACTTTGGAGATCACCTAAAACTTCAGGTCCTAAAGTCTTAATTTTATAAAAGAGGAAACAGTTTTAGAGGGGAAATTTTACTCCAAAGCCACATGGAGAAATTATATAAGAGTGGAAAACAAAATTCAAACTATTTCCTGAGTTCTAGATCAAAATATCCTACTAGTTGGTGATATTGGCTCTTTAGCAAATAGGAGAAAAGTGAAGAAATAATCTCTCCCCTGATTCTCCCTTGTAAATAACAAAGGAGATACAAAGATTGAAGGAACATCGGGATACTCTGAACTGTTCTGATGTTTACCTTGCATTGAGTGAGCAAAACCAACTATGCCTCTTGCTTTCCTGAAAGCTGACAGTGAAGTCTTAGCAAGGATCCACTAACTAGTAGGCAGTCACAACCCAAGATGAATACTGTAAGGTTGTGAGACAGACAGAGCTTCTAGTCTCAGGCTATGTGGTGGAGAGGAAGAGGGAACATTTCAGGCTAAGCAAAGCGTGTGGGGTCAAGTTTGTGGAAGAAGATCATGAGGCTGGAGCTCAGAGAGGCAGGTGGTTGGAAATAGGTTGGTGAAGTGAAGAGGGAGAGGAAAACAGGATCCAAATGGGTTGAGCCTTGTGCAGGGCGTGTAAGGTCTTTACTCAGTGTTGAATGGGAAGGCATTTAGGTCATAGGTGCTGTGCTTTTAAATGATCACATTTGTGTTTGAAAATAACTGAGATGGGAAAGCAGTAGACAGAGGATAGGAATTATACAGAGAAATGACAATGTTCCCACAAAGCATACACAAAAACCAGTCTTGCTGCCTTAACTCAAACTTGTGTGACCGAGACTGCGAGTGCTCTGGGAACTCACAGAGTGGAGGAATGGCCATGCTGGGTGGAAAGGGAGGTGTTCAATTGGTGTAGCAAGAAGCGATGGCTGCATTTTCAGCAAATCCCCCTCTAGTTGTGACCCCTTTTCTTTGCTGTAGTTCATTTCCTCCCTAATTTTAGTGCTTCTTCAGTTCTTAAATTCTCTTCCCCTCTTCTCTTGAGGTGGTTATTAAGAAGGCTATGTCTTCCCTTTGCCTTCTTCTCTGGATGCCCTTTAAAAATTAATAGAGAGCTTCCTGTCACGTTTGTGCCTCTCTCTTACTCTCTTTCTTGTGGCTAATTGTGATCGTCTAACCGGAAGTGCACTTTAAAATAAATTTGTTTTTCC